CTATCGATTTTATAAAGTTGAGTTTGGATGGCGAGACTGTAATTCGTTTCGGTAAATTGGTTAAACGGTGATGTATACCGTAAGTTTTCCTGGAGTTTAATGATGAAGAAGAAAGAGCCATAATGGTCCCAGTTATGGCAGGAGATTAACAGTAAAAAAAATAACAGGGGTGGAGGGGCAGAAAAGGCGCGAAAAGTACAAAAAAAATATTCGAGCAAGGCAAAATTAAATGAAAAAAAATTCATGCACGCCAATCAACCCTAAAAAATATTCATGCTACAGCCTAAAAAAAATTCATACAAGGAATTTGATAACGAAAAAAAATTCCTGCGGCTCAAAAATTCCCCACCCTCCTCATAACTTTTCTAATGGTCCGTCCCTGATTGAAAGTTCGTGCGGGATATGCAATGCATATTTGTTATTCGAGTGACTGGCGAGGGATCAGGAGGAGTTGGTGATTATCGAAGCTGTGAGCAACAAATACCAGCAACTTACCGTCCCCTTGCAGGAAAAAAAAAATGATTACAGCAAAGGAAAAGAAAACTACCGCTCTAAACGTGTTTGCAGAATTGCTCAAGAAAATTATTTTTCTTGAAAATTTTAAATTCGGCTCAAGATATTTAAAAATATTTTGCATGAGCCGAATTTGTGTACACAAATAAGGGTATAGAGCAAAAGGAAAATTCGTCACTGCTATTCTTCCTATGCCGCAATCTGTATTATTTTTCGTCGGCTATTGCTTAATTTTTCTATTCGCCTGATAAATGGGTGACGTCATTCGGTTGGATCTAATTTGTCTCCTTAATTTGTGATAAGACATTCTTATTCAGCTTTCATTCTGAATATGAATGTCCAGACCTTAGATTAATTACCCAGTTTGATATATATCTGAAAAGATGAAAAGGTTGTTTCGGGAGCCTCTAAATGTTGCAATTTAAAATTTTTTAACATTTCGAAAATCACTGAGATCTCACCAGCTGTTGGCTATTGTAATAGATTTCCAGTCCTCCTCGCGAGAATTGCATTTCGGAAGCTGACTACTAAATTTTAATTGATATTTGCTGCGTGGGCGACAAGGCATGAAATATTAAGACCATGCAAGCGAGTCAGAAAATATATGCATTTTCATCTGTATAAAATAATGGACTAATCCTCGAGGAACAAGGAAGATTTTGTCAAACGTCCCGGCCCACTATTTCGCTTACGCAATGCTCTGTTCTTCCGACTAGGCTATAATGCAGTAGTTGGATTTGACGATCCAAAGAACCCGACAGCCATTCCAGTTTTCACAAAAATTATTTCTTCTATTTCTGATGGGGCTATCTAGAGTGTTCGGCAAGTTGCGCTTCCGTATCACACCATTCTCTGCAAGTTGGCGGTTTCGTCGCCCAGGATACTGCGAAAAATTCACCAGCAAAGAGGACCCCTTGATCAAGGAAGGCTACATTTGGAAGCAAAGCAAATCCACTCCGTGGAAACGGCGATGGAAAAGGCGATATTTCATCCTGTCCGGGGACAAGTTATATTTTTTGAAGGAAAAAAGCGAGGAGTCTGTTTCGGCAAAGATCGTTCGAATTTTGGACATTGTTTCGATGATGGTAGAAGATTTTGGTTTTCGACGAAAGAAATTTGGATTGCGCCTGCGAGCGAACAACAAGGAATCATACATTGTGAGTTGTAATAGCGAAGCGGAAAGAAACGACTGGATAACCGCCGTACTTACAGCAAAATCTTACAGTTTGGTTGAACATAAATAATTTGAGCAAAAATGTGGCGGATCGCACCGTGTAAGTCCATATTTTCAAATGTTTCAAACTGCCTTTTTTGTAAGTTAAGATGAACAATATGACTTGATAGGAGAAAGATGAGACATTTGTGCATTAGAAAAAATAATTTGTGAGCTTGCCTAGGATGACAAACAGATGCCTTCCTGGTCAAAAAGAGCGCACAAAACATTCGACTTGAAATAAAACAGAGGGTGAAGAAACGTTTTTCGTGCATTTTCTTCTTGTAGTTTCGCCGGATATAAGTTGACATAAGTGTGTTTTTATGTACCTGACACTTTTATTTCGAAATACATGTACGGAGTCTTTTTCATGTCAGATAAAATTCGTATGGCATGTATGTATATTGGGACTGACTGAATATATGTTACTGTAAACAATGTTTTTATGAAAATTAAAGCCTGTTTCCTAGGTGTTGTCCGTCTACAAGATCTATGTGCTTCTGATTTTTTCCCCGGAAACTTAAAATGACCGTTGAATTTAATAATGATGAGGGGAATTGAGAAATATAATAAATTCCTTGGCGTGATAGGCAACCTTTGCCAAAGTAATGATGTAAACGAAGAGGGTCATATATGGTTTACTCAACGATTTTATCCGAACTTCTGAACCTAAAGTTAATTTTGTAACATTTCTCATTTCCTTGTTTATACATATTTAATGCGCTGAGAGCTCTTCTTTTGCTAGTTGACTGCGACAGATGACTAATTTCCTTGGAAATACAATCCCATCTTTTGAAAACAAGTTAATACTTCGAAAGAACATTAAGACAGTTATTTTCTAGTATGCTTGTCTACGACTACTGAGATAAACGTGGTCTAATTTGAAACAAACATTACATACAGTTGTATCAAAATAACTTCTTGCCAAATCTTCCTCGTTCATGTTTTTGGGAATGAACTTCGATGAAACTCTCATTTCCCTCACAGCGGGGTAGCGTTCCTAATATAAACTAAGTAACTACAAATATGTTATATATAATATGCAATTTTTCGAGAAGGTAGCTAAGAGAAAAAAAAGGAAACATTTTTTTACTCAGTGGTTTAATGTAGGTTACATGATTTCGATTTTGCGTCCATGTATGGCATCTTTGAGTCACCTTTTTGTTAAAATAGATCCACTCAGTTTTGGTCTTTGTTTGTTTTATCCGTCCATTTGTTTCGGTGCTTTTTTTAAGAAAACACAAAATTCACGCTGAGAAATGGAGATGGTGGAAGAACAACTTCACGGCCGCCCACACAAAACACGCTCAGTTTCCAGCATGCTATCAACAGATTTCCCCAGATTACTTTCTTTGCATCAAATATAACCTTTAAAATTAGGAATGCTGTAATAGCTTACAGAAAGCGAAAAATGACACCCCTGAGACTGACTAGTGAACAGCAACAGCTCAAAAGGGGAAAACTGAATTGTGGGTAAACTTAAATCGCTTTGTTTTGTCCCACGAAAAAAGCATAAAGGTTAACTTTTGTAATTTTCTTTTTGTTTTGCCTTTTTACCGTCTGGAGTTTGACGCAAAAAGTTCTATTTTGGAAGGTATAACAGTGGTTTAGCTTAATTTTTTGCCTTGTAAACAAATCAAAAAAATGGTGAGAAAGCGCTTTGAACCAATTTTGGCTGACAACCTGAATTAAGTGTTAAGGGACTCAAGTTAAAGAGCTCAAGTTAGGCTTTTATTTTGACTCGCCAAGCATCTTTTAAAATCTTTTTTCTTAAACTTGAGAGAGTTTAAAGTATATCTCAGTCTTGCTGGTCCGGCTGTATCAAAGCTTGTCCTTTAAAATTTTTCTCGACGTTCAAAACAAGTCTTAGTCAATGAAAATCATTTCTCTCTCTTTTCGGGCACTAAGTTATTTTTTTTTCTCACTTTTTCGTGTCTCTCTCCCCCAAGTTGTGTAATTGCTGTCTTGTTTTGTTACTATCGACAATAATTGGATCCTGAGCGATAAGAAAATGTGTAATAATTTTTTTTACCTATTAAAAAGGAATCATCGAACAGGCTCAGCGCTTCAGTGATTGGACAAATTCATGTTTCTTTGTATAAGAACTGTCAATGCCCACCGGAAAATGGCATAATTGTTGTACGAATAGAAACTAATATCGAAAATTCGGAGATGCTTTTCTTGCCTTCAAAATGACTACGGTTTATTTACTTCGCGACATAAAATCAAGTGACCTTAATTCTTGTTGAAAATACTAATTTTGTGAATTTTCCTACCGCCAACCTTGAAGTAATAGGGACCATTTAGCAACCACGACGGCTACAGCGACGAGAACATCAAAAAGGCAATGGGCCTGTTTTTCAAACGGAGTTTAGCCAGTGTTTAACAAAACCACGTTCTATCCATTTTCAGTTTGCTAAACGCTTTTATGTAAACACCATTTATCGTGAAAAGTTTCATGTAAGCATGTAGCGTAGACTGGAAAAGCATTTGTTTCCTTAAAATAACCCACTAAGGAAGAGATCTTGAGGTCCAAAGATTTCCTAAACCCTCATCTAAGTAAGACTTCGTTTAAATAACCGACCCAATGGGTTTAGTAAGCAAAACAACTTTAACATACGCGTGCAACATGCTATTTTGTATACTTCTTTGCTTTTACTGCACAACTACGACGTGAAAATGCTTTCACACTATTTGGAGGACCCCGTAAATAGGCGATCGACGATACGAATTTTTCTTTATCTTTCTAAGCTGGAGTGCGGTCCCCAAGAATTCAAGTCTAGGGAAATTCGCCTTTATTTAACATTTTTAGCGAATTGGAATAAACGCTACAAAATTTGAAAAAACGCCAATTCATTTAAAAAGTAACGCTGTTCCGTGCCGTCACCGTCTTTGATGCTAAAGTTCCCTAGTCTGAAATGTCAGTCGTCACTCGTTTCTGACATTTCAGACTAACCTTGAAATTGAGCGGTTGAATGTTATGAAATTGTTTTCCTGTCTTTCAGGGCTATAACCGAAGGCCTTCCAACCATTAGGAGGCTGGTCATTATTTCTTGTGAGGGGGAGGAGGCGGTCATTTTGAGAAAGCAAACGGTTCGCAGCTTCTGGGAACGAGATTTTTATAAAGCCAAACTTTGCGCAAGCGTGTCTAACTCCACTGTTGCTTATCGTACGTACAGGCTTGCCTCTGAAAATCCTTCTTCCAATGTCGGGAGGGGTACTCCCATATATGGGTTAGACAGGGTATGATTGGTGAGGTTCTCCTTCCCACAGGGTATTATTTTTTCCCTTGTTGCCGTTGTGTTCCCGGTGTGATCTTAGATAGGGTACCATTATTATAGCAACTAAAATTCAAGTGCCGGCGTAAAAGCCCAGCTACACGAGGAACAAATCATCTGCTCAAAACTGAACTTTACCTTTGGAGTATAAAGAAAGCGATTTCATGAAAGTTTGTGTGATGCGTTGCCATTAAATTCTTAAATAAATGCAGAGAAGATTATCACAGTTAATTACGCAACTTATGCAGTAGCGTATGTAACCCTGTAACCCCCAATAACGACATACAAATTCTCCAAACTAATCTCCATTCATTTCATTTCATTTGTAATTTGATAATAGATCAAGGCATTTTCTCTTGGCTGATCATTTTAGTAATTCTCATAACTTATCTCTTGACAGTGTATGGATATCTAGCCGGATTTATGAAAACCGTTCCATCGGACACCAGGAGCACACGTGACTCAACTAAAGTAAATATGGCCAAGAAACTCAGCTCTTACCCATGGTTCTCTTAAGGTGACTCTCTTCTTGGTTCCTGATTAGCAAAAGAAACATTCAAGTCCATCAAAAAGACACTCTGGACTTGTCTCTGACTCTCCCAGACCAGGACTAACGGAAGGTACAACGCTTTTGCAGCACCCTCCCCCCCTAGGGATTGACATGGAGGCCCCTTTCCAACCCATGGCGAGTTAGCTCAGGGACTGAACTTGCCAATGAGACAACCAGGACAGCAAGCCCCCTATGTTTTTTCTCACCGCAGTGACCAGAAAGCTGGCTATCGCCAGCTTTCTGTGCGAATATTCTGGTCCATTTTGAGGTATGTTTTCAAAAATTCGGCTAGATATATTTAGCAGAAAATCGATCTTGGTCACTATTGGTTAACTGTAATGATCTTGATCTTGATCTTCTTTGCATTTATTTATTCGTTCCGCGGCCAGAAATAAACGAAATTCATATATTAATCATTTCATTTCAAAATTCCTAAGTTTTTGTTTCAGTCTCCCTTGAATAGGGTATCAGTTTTCGTTTGTCTCAGAGTTTTAGGAGCAGAGATTAAGACCCTGACGGCATGCACACATTCAAAATTTATAGGAGCCTTACAGGAGCACCGCCCCCCTTTCCAGGGGAGAAATGTCTTGCGTCTTGAACAGAATAAAATGAACGGGCAAACTCTCATCCCCCCCGAAATCAAGGATGAAGCCGTGCGAAATCCAAACCGCGCCATTTTCCCATCCTTGAGTTGGAGAGGAGGGGTGGGGTGGCGTGGGGGGTCCCATCCATTTTGTGAAATATTGTAGGTGGTAGTCAAAGAAACTTGCTCAGTCCAAACAAAACCGAAATCATTGGTGTCTGATTTATTTTTTCAACACGTCCACGCGTAAAGTGATTATTAAGACGTGAACACTTATGAATACTAACAACGTAAAACTATGGTTTTACTTGTTCCTGTCAGTTCTCTTTTACCAACCCTGAAAGCCGCAAGGAACCTTCATCATGTAAAGACACTTTTTCGCAGATGCACGGGACTATCTCCACAGATAGCGTTTGGCCCGGATTGGCTTTCAGGGATGAATAAAAGGGACACTAAATTAGGTGGAAAACGAATTCTTTATACTTCTACTACTGACAGAAGCCCTGATCACAGGGTTGGAAATCAAATAAGGATCTCCAAAGCTTGAGATAATTTGTCAGTATATCTATTCATATATTGATCTCTTGTTTCCACTACATGTACCTTGATAAACTCAATTAAAATTTTGAAATTAAGAACACAGACCTTCCTTGTTATTCCAATTATTGAAGCAAAAAAGATTTTCATTCCTTTTCAGGTTCCTTTTTTAATATCGGTTTGGATTTTGTCATTAAATATATCATAATCGCAAGGCAGTAATTATTGTTAAACTATTCATAAAATTTAAAAAAAACACTCATCACGCCTTTGTTGATCAATAAAAACACTCATCTCGGTATAAAAAATAATTGGAACCAGTTTGAATTTATAATAATTTTCTAGTTGGTCTTTTAAGTATACTTTAACTAATGTGTCATCTGTTGAATTCATCACTGGCTAATATCTTTTTTAAAACGAGGAAAACACTTGGGGACTATCACATTAAAATGACGGGGAAGCTCCTCCTCTCGTGTAGAGCGTTTCGGGTACAAATTGCAGAGTTTCATCTTATTTAGGGTGTTCAGGACGGGAAGCCATAATTTTTACCCAAAAAAGTATCGCTTAAGGTCGTGCGTAAAGAAATTTCAAAATGTAAAAGCAAGCTAACGTCGTCTAACTGTATTAGAGTATGGTCTCCTTTAAGGGTTAAATAAAGCCCTAGCCCCCCCCCGGGGGGATACTCAACACAATTTTATACACGGAGACTCCGGCTCGAGGTCCAACCCCTTGTCATTTTATATTCCATTTTTGGCAGAAAAGGTACCCCTTTTGTATACCTTCTATTGACAAATGGTACCCCTATCACATACAACTTTGCATCCCTTTTAACTGCTGTAAATGCACCTAAATTGCCTTTATCACGCACAGCCATTACAAGCATCTGTAAGTCCTTTAGGGCTTTTTTTAAAGACCCAAATGATGGATTTCCCTACCCTTTCAGATATCTGAAGCCGGAAAACAGTGCAACTTTCGGTCGGAGCCTCACCGTATAGGCCATTATAGGGAGTATCCCCCCGGGCCTTAGCCACGCCCAGATTGATCTCCTTTGGGGCTTTAATTTTTATCACGAGCAGCCCCGTCTGTTTTATGTCTGAGTCCCGCCTCCCTGCCCCTCTGGGCGAGCGACTACCAATGGGAACTGATATACAGAGTTATAGCACGAAGAGTGTCACATATCAAAAAGTATGACCGCTACAATTCTGCTAAGTTGGTTGAAATTTCCGTTACTAATGAATGTTACGATGAAAGGTTTGTTTTTATGCCAGTTTGTCACGCTGTCCGTTGACGCAGAAGAACACTTCCTTTAAAAGTCAAAGACCTCTGCATAAATCTGACCTGTGATTTCGAACTACACAAGTTTCTTCTACACGCAGGTCTCGTATGAGTAAATCTCTCGAGTGTTCTTCACAAATGCAAGTTCAATATCAGTGTTTTTGTGGTCATGCTTCTTGTCAGCTTTCCACGATAGCGGCCTCAGACCATTAAGTATTACGAACAGTAAACCAAGCACATCTGCCAAAACAGCCATCCAAAGAGCAGCCTTTCCGGCAAGCGCTGCAATCACAATAACCAGCTTTAGAACGACAGAAAAGGCAATATTTTCCGCAACTACCCATCGACAGAAGCGCCCGAGTTCCACAAGCTCAGGTATTTTGGCCAAGTTATTGCTCATAAGTGCTACATCGGCCGCTTCTACAGCTAAAGCGGTACCTCCGGCGCCCATTGCAATCCCAACATTCGCTGCGGCCAGTGCTGGACCATCATTAACACCATCGCCGACCATACCCACAATCCTTTTGTTAGCGCTGTCACGTGAGGCTGATATGTTGAAACGGCGACGCGAACAGGAACGAGACGCAAAACGCTTTCGGCGAGTACCACTAGGAAACATCTCGCCATCAGCGAATTTTGTTCCATCTTGTCTGTCTTTGACCCAAGACAGCTTGTTCTGCGGTTTCATGTCGGCGACACACTCGTCCAGTCCTAGCTTACTCTTCACGGCCATGGCTGTTCGCGAGTTGTCACCGGTAATCATAGCTGACTGGACTCGAAGCTTTCTTAGCCAACCAAGGGTGTCCAAGCTGTTTGGTCTGATCGTGTCCGCGAGCGCCACCATCATAGCAAGTTTGCCATTTAAACACACAAAAATCACCGTCTTACTTTCGTTGCACCACGTGATGTACTTGTCTTCCATTTGTTTGTTCGGCCTTTTTCCTGTGACGTGATTAAGAAATTCATAGTTTCCGATCTGAACCAGTTGACCATCTACAGTACCGGAAATACCTTGTCCTTCGTGGAGCTCAAAGCGTGACACTTCCGGTAAAGTGGCGTTTTGTGATTTGATCATTTCAGCTACGCAACCAGCAAATTCATTAACTATGGCTGCTGCCAGAGGATGGCTTGATTTGCTCTCCAGTGCAGCAGCTAAGCGTAAAGTAGCTCGTTCATGTACACCAAAAGAACATTCTATGTCAACAACTTGAAACTTGCCTTCGGTCAGTGTTCCAGTTTTATCAAACGCAAGTACTTGCAACCTGGCAAGCGTCTCGAGATGAACTCCCCCTTTAATCAGAGCTCCTTTTCGCGCAGCCGCAGTGATGCCACAAACCACAGCGATCGGGGTTGACATGACGAGTGCGCAGGGGCAAGCTATGACCAGAAGAACAAGCGCTCGTCGGCCCCATTCTTTAATCTCTTGTAAATAGGTCCCCACACCAGCAGCACCAAGAATGGCGGGAATAATTACCACGAGAGCTGCCACAATGACCACAGCTGGTGTATAGTACTTGGCAAACCGGTTTATTGCAATTTCAGTTCTCGCTGAACCAGTTTGAGCTTCTTGAACAAGTTGCGCCACTTTAGAAACTGTAGAGGAAGTTGAGTCCGATGTAGTCTCGACTTCCAGGTATCCATTTTGATTGACAGTTCCGCTACTGACCTTAGAACCTACTGTTTTCTCCAAAGGAACAGATTCGCCCGAGACCGAGCTCTCGTCCACGGCAGCTCGGCCCTTGACTACCACACCATCCAATGGAATCAATTCACCTGGTCTAATGGCGATGGCTGTGCCTATGGTAACTGACTCCACAGGGACACATTCGCCCGTGGCCGCTAATATGGCCACTTGAGGTGCTTTGAGCATGAGCCCAGAGATAGTCCGCTGGACTTTGTACATGCAGACCTCCTGCAAGGCTTCAGCGAACGAGAAGACGTACACTACAGCTGCACCTTCGAGCCACTCCTGAATGGCCAGCGTTCCTGCTATGGCAATGAGGATCAGAATATTAATATCCAAGGTGAGGGTCTTGATGGACACGGAGGCTTTCTTCAAAACTGGAGGGATACCAAAGACGATTTCTGCAATGGCCACCCACTGATACCAATCTGCCTTGACAAAGAACGCTACAACGCCTATCATCATCAGAATACTCTGCACCAAAAGATAAACTAAAAACAATGATAACGAATGCGGCAGGCCTTCATTCTTCTTATCGGCATTATGGGATCCGGTCTCCATGATGCTGGCTCCCAGGTGCATGCGGTTGAGGGTGGTAATCAGCTCAGTGGCTGACGTCACTTCCGGATCATGATGTACGTATACTACGCGACCGATTACATTCACAGCGATTGATGACACGCCTTCCAAAGGCTCCAAGGAATCTTGAACCAGCTTGATTTCCATTGCACAACAGATGTTCTGAACTCGCAGTTTTGTTGTACGTTGCCGCAGCATCGGCTTCTTTTCACTGTTACCACTCTTATTTGGAGGTGGTGGTGATGAGGGAGGGGTGGACGGGTAGAAGCCACTACAGTCTGTCATGGACACTCGGCTGACAGATTTGAATCGACAGTCTTCGACCAATAACCTAAACTTACAGCATTCGTCAACAAGTGCCTCGCTTGGGCTACCACTGCAACATTTGCTTTCACAGCACATGTTTTCAGGTAATGAACCCAGGACGACCGAACGCACACTGCGTGACTTACACTTGCCACAGGGCTTGCTTCCGCAGCATTTTTCTTCCGCTGATAACCATATAACAGGATCAGAGCTGCGTGACAGACGCGTGCTCTCACTACAAGATATGCTTTCACAACACTTATCTTCCGATAAAGAAAAGGCGGGAGTTTTGCTAGACTGACATGTGCCTTCATTCAAGGGTTTTCTTGCACAACAGCCATCATTGCATGAGGAATTCGTGGCCACCCTGGCAATATTGCGTGACTCACAACCATCGCCACTGCAGGGCTTACTTGTACAACACTTGTCCTCTGTTACTAAACGTCTGGCAGGATCACCAGGATTGCTTGCTTCCCCGCACGTGACTCCCTGGGATTTGTTCGGGCTACAACAATTCTGGCAAGAACTCTGACTGGTTTTACAGCATGCTGCATCCGTTGAACTAGTGGGTCCTTCAATGTCATCACCTCCGGAGCTCTTTTGGGCGTGACTAGGACTGCAGCAGTCAGACTGAAGCGGAGGTGACGCCTGCTGTCGAATGGTGTTGTCAGTTAACAAAGCAGGTTTGGTTCCTTTCTTGTCATTTGCAGAACAGCAGTTACTCTCGCAACCCGTCTTTCTCTCCTCCTCAAATGGTTCTTTGGTACAAGAAGAAGAACAGGTCGTGGTTTTTTCTTTGTCACATAAATCTTTCTTGACAACACAACATCGTTCTGAAGCACATGTGTCTGGGCCAGAGCCTCGGTAGTTCAGCGTTGAAAGTAACTTTTCTGAGATGTTATTGGTTTGAAGAAGCCTATCGTCATCTTCGAAATCTTGATCACCGTGGTAATACTCATCGCATTCGCAGGTCACTGAAGAGCCTCGGTAGTTCATCGCTAAAAGTGACTTTTCTGAGAGGTTATTGGTTTGAAGAAGCCTGTCGTAATCTTCGAAATCTTGATCACCATGGTAACACGCGTCGCATTCGCAGGACACTTCCGGAAAATCATCCGAACAACAATCACAATGGTATTCCTGACACATGTTGGTATGTCTGTGGTCTGAAAGAAAAGGGGTGAAACGTTAGTTTGGTAAAATTTTCTTAATACCAGCAACAGTGCACAGAAAGACGAAAACTCCGCGTCGGCCAAAATTCCACCAGTTCGGAGATCAGCCTTGTACTCAAGGGAAAAATAAGATCAAACAAATTTATGTGAAGTGCAACTACCACGGTTTATAACGAATGCTCGCGAGTAAGGTACACGCATTAAAAAAAATAATAAAACGAGCAGAACGCGCACTATAGGAGTCCTTAGACCGAGAAATATTTCACTAACTCGTGGAAATCCTTCATTATTACAGGTCGGGCAAAGAGTTTTCTTCCCCTGAGTTTTCGCAAAAGTAACGCGTCGCAATGCCAAAGGTAACGAGCCTTCTTACTTCTCGAAGTGGTAAAAAAGCGAAGTGCATACGTCCGAATCTTTTTAAATTGACGTTGGCGCTTGGTTAAAGGCGCCTAAGCAACGATGGCGTTAATCAGATAATCCAATTTCAGTATGACAGTTTCAAATATCAGAGGCGTTCATGCATTTCTTACATCAACGATAAAGCCCAGCGTAATTCAAAATGGCGACGAAAAAATCACCGCTAATGTATCGGTCAAATCGAAGCTTCAACATGCCCCCCCCCCCGGGCAACCCCCGGGCATTTGACTTTTTTGAAAATTATTGTTCAAATTCCCTCCTACCCGGGCCAAAGTGCCGTTCAAATGCCCCACACTAGGGTCCATTCAGGTGATCAAATGCCCCCACCCCGGGGACATTTCACATGCACAAAAATGACAGAAAGACGGTGGAAACGCGTTCAGTTGTCGAACAAAATCTTTATAAATATGACAAAAACTGAGAAACACTGTTAGCGTATTTACTACGAACAAAAGTCTCATGCAAAGCGGCGGAAATCGCTGCTACAAGGTAACTGAATGCTCAACTTTTTTTCGTCATGCAACATACAAAGCGTTCTTTAAAAAAAGATCCCACCTATTGAGATTACTACATCATGACCATTTCACTGACATGCACCATCGCTCACCTTATTAATTAACATACTTGCAGTAGGTCAAAGTAGTTGACCTGAGCTTCTTATTTTATTTTATATTGTTGTATTGAATCGCCGGTAAAGGTATTGTATTTCATTGTAAACACAACAATAAAATACATTCATACATTCAAAGCCGGAATCCAATATTAAAAATTTTAAAATTTAAATACTTCAAATACGGCACAGAGCTTGTTTAAGCCCTTTCCTCGTAACCAACTGGCCACAAAGGCACAATCTTTTCCACGAAAATCCTCTAACACCGCGTCCCCCATGATAGCTCGCCACGCCAAAGATTTTACATGAAATCGAGGGTGCAGTTCAAATCCCCCAACCCCTAAAGCATGGGGATCAAATTCCCCACCCCCTGGAACACTCTGATAATCAAATTCCCTCCTCCCCGGGACGGCAAAGGTGTCAAATGCCCGGGGTATGCCCGGGGGGGGGAGGGGCATGTTGAAGCTTTGATTTGACAGATACATAAGTAACACAAGACACCCATCAGATAAATCCCACGTCAAACCAATACTACCTAAAGTAAAATAATGTGCCAAAATCAAATAAGAGCAATGCCTGCCTGGAACGAAAAAGGAAATTTTTTCTTCGTTGAAGAATCTCCGGTGACTGTAGCGAAATCTTTCGCACGGTGCATGAAGCTGAAACAAGACTAGTATTTACCGATCACTGATGAAGCAAAGCCCTGGGTTATCGGTTGCTTTACGAAATTCAACCAAGTTTGATAATGGCAAAAATTTTACATCGACTGAATTTCTACTCTTAGCACGTTCCGGTGATAATAACAATATAGAGATAAGCGTCAACGTAAATATACTTCGCAATGATCAATAATAAGCTTGTAGTTTATTTTCCTCCCTGGATGCCTTCCGGAGAGGCTTAGTGAACTCATTCATCGCGAGCTCGCCATATTATCTTTTCAAATAAATTCTCTACAGGAGTATTACCCTGCCATAAACCTTTTAAAAAATATCTCAGAGAAATTAGAATTCAAAACGGCTGTTCTCATTTTTTATTTGTTGTCAAACTGATTTTGATGACTTATACGAATATTAAAATAATGAGTGCTTGTAATTGTTGAGGTTATATTTATTGTTTCCCCCATAGTCATAAACCAAATGCAAAAATAGTTGCTGGATTTATACTCTTTTGTTTTAATTAAAATAAGGCTAACTAGCCTCATTCCTCAGTACAAAATTCAAAAAAATACATTTTCCCAAGCAAGGCTGGTCAGGCTAATTTTCATTTAAACAAAAGGACATTAACTGAATCCAACAGCGTTTTTGCATTGGGTCCATATGGCAAGATGGGTCACCATTATAAAGTCTTTTTTTCTTTTCGGGGATAACTGAACAATACTTCAGGCTTTTTCTTGAAAATTGCTGCAGCTACTCTACAATTGAAAAAATATCATAACCCAGCGAAACTTAAAAAAACCCAACCCTAGTATGTCCTTGATCGCTTGTTTAGAGATATTCGTACAACTTTTATTCAGTTTTCAGTTTCTTTGAATTGTCTTAAATTTGTGCTATGAAACCTTTAAGTATGAAAAAGCCTTGACAACGTAAACATTTAAAGAAAGTCACCAATCTCTTTGTAGGAATGTAAACAAACTGCAACATTGTAAAGCCTTTTGTTCCGATGCAGTTCTTTAGTTAAGGTCCCATTAGGGCCATTTATACGAGGAAAAATAAGACGCGTCTTACATAAGACGCGTCTTAAATAAGACGCGAACTGTACCATTTATACGAGCATGTCTTATCTAACAAGACGCGTCTTAGCTAAGCCGCGTCTTATTTTTGACGAGATGTGCCGTTTATACGGAAAGTTCGCGTCTTATGTAAGACGCGTCTTATTTTTCCTCGTATAAATGGCTCTATTGTTTCCTTATGGTTATATAAACAGCACGTACGTAATGAGTAACTCAGTGTCAACTGAAATTGAATGACGAAGATCAAAAGTCCAAAAAATTGAGCGATTTTTAGAGAAGAGATACTGAAATTCAATACTTTGTGAGCAAAGGTAAAAACTGAAATCTCTTCTTGCGAGGAAAAATAAAAGGGATCTTTCAACAAGATGTTTTTTCTTTTATTTCGTATGAAATTCTTTGTACGACCGACATTGACAAATAATTTTAAAAGCCTCAGCGATCCGCCGGTGATTTCCAAGAGTACATTCAGGATTAAAATTATTGTTGAAAGAGGCGCATTTTCCAACACTCATTACAGCATTGTCGCGGGTCAGTAGATGTTTTGACAGTTTTCCAATGGAGATAAGCTAGAACCTTATCTTTGGAAAGGAGATAAGACGAGCAAGTGAAGTAACTACAAAAAAGCAACTCTTCACCCTTGTTCCTTGATAATCAAATGCGCCCATGCATGACTTTAGACGCTATTATAATTTCACAACATTACACGAGTTGTGAGCTTTGAACGGGATTGTAGACTGCAAAATATTCCTAAAAATATGTCCTAGTGTTTTAGGAAGTAGACATGCGCTCAGTTTTAGAGACAATAAGCATTTTTTCTCTCGCCTCAGTAGAAACTTTTATTTAGTATGGGTTAAACACATTTAAAATAACCAACTGTTTTCCAGTTACGCGACACACAAGTCATCTCTACAGGGGGAAATAAAGTAAGTCGCTTAATCATCATGCTAAGTAATTTATCTTCGATACTTCGCTAAAATCTGCGCAAACTACATTTTCGTTACATACAATTTGGGAATGAAACTACTTACAAACTTATCTGCGGCTTCAAAACCGATGTTGGCCAGTACTGAAGCGTGTTTTATTTTTTGCGGGTTTTCTCTGTCGTCTTTAGGATCTGGAGAGAATCCAAGGTGTGGTCAAACTCTGCAAAAAAGAAAACATGGAATTTAAATTTCAAATACTGTTCCGCTCTGCTTACAGGTGACCAGGTCTGTTACACAAACCTGCAATTACCTGAAAATGTAAATTTATGCCGTGAAATGAATGCAAAATATCACCGACTTAAGATAAAAGCGAGCTTTGTTACGCACAATATCTATAAGCCATAAATATAAACTATAAGTCCGGTTTAGTGCGGGTTGCAAGAAAAACATTTCAAAAGTGATTTCTTCTTTTAGCAATGCGACCGGCCCGTGAAAATGAGAGCTGTCAAGCAGAATTATCTGGTGTTGTTTGTTAAAATGGATGTAGCTTTATTTTTTTTGCTCGCTTTTGACTTGCAAATTGCGAGTTTGACGATTGAAGATTTGACCTTGGAGAATTCCCGCTTAAAATCGTTGGCCTCTCCATACTTCTCCATATCGTGTTTTGGAATATTGCTCGGTTTCGAATTCTCGATTTCCTTTACAGTTGTGAATCGAAGCGATTTCCGAATGTCTTGAGAATGCGTCCATCTCTTATTTGAGTTGGCAGCACAGATTCTTAATTCCAAAGTCTTGCAAAGCTACGAATAATCAATCACATCCAAAGTTTACAAACGCATTAAATTAATTTGCCCAGCGGGTTTAGAAGTAAAAAGACAAGTACCTCGAAGATGCTGATTGCAAACGCTGGAGATCAGAAAACTCTTCTTTCGACCACCAAAAGTAACAAATTTTTGTGACTTATTAAAACCACTCCACTGAGTTGAAAAATGTAAACAAAAAGTGATCAAAAGAAAACATGTCGATCTTGTACACTGCATGAGAAACAAGAGCCGCGTCACGCATTGGAAAGTACTAGTCTGTCAACTTAGCCAGAGAAATGGCAGCCGACATTTCGCGATGCCACGCCTTCCCCGCGAAATGACAATCATTTTGCGCGGTAGCCTGAATTTCATCCCATTACTTCGAGTCGTTATTACTCCCTCAGTAACGTCTGACCTGAATCGACCGGCCGTTAATGCCGTCCAGTGACGTCACTACTCCTTGATATTTGCTTTAATTCATGCAAAAAGTAAAACACGATTTTCCAGTGGCAAATCGAGAAATATCGTTTGGAAATGTCTGCATGAAACAGAATTGCTTGATTTTTTCGACCGTAATTCATGTTTAACGTTCAAACTATCAACTGCATGCAGTACAACACTGAACCGGTTGTACTGTAATTCCATAATCAAACTCGGTCGCAATCACGCAATGAAATAAACACACAAACGAAACACTTAGTTCAAAAACACAACGATTTGCTTCAATTGAAAAGAAGCTATTTGGTCCTTAACGAAGAAAGAAACAAGAAAACAAGAAAGAAAAGCTAACAGAATCATTACATCTGACGGTGAAAATAGCAAGAAGGTCGAATTATAACATTGCTCTCAGAAAACTTCGCGTAAACAAAATTACTGGCCGCCGAAACCACAAAGCGGCTCTAAATGAAAAACCTACCGACTCTCCGCAATGATTCTTCATTCGCAGTTCAGTTTAGCATTTCAGTTTCGAAGACAAGGACAATTTTGCTGTTTAAGATAAAGATTAAGCTTATCGAAATGTTTGAACTACACGAAAGAACGCCACGCCAGGGATGTGATCCGCTGAAAGTCAAGCGACAATCCCGCTAAAATTTTTCATAATTATGCATAATTATGCGAATGTTTAGACAATCAACCAATCAAAACCACTACCCGATTTTCGGGTAGTGAGTGACGTCACTGGACGGCATTAACGGCCGGTCGATTGAGAGGAGAAAACGACTCGAAGCAATCGGATGAATTTCAGGCTATTTGCGCGGAAACAAACAGTGATGGTGGCGCACCCTACGTAGCCGTGGGATTTTTTTTTTTTGGGGGGGGGGGGGGGGTTTTTCTTTTTGTGGTTGTTAAAATAAGCCCCGTTTTAGCGGCGGCGTTCTTCCCTTCGCAACGAGAATCAACACCGGAAGGGCCGTCGGGGGGNGAACTGAATTCAGGAATTAAGTTCGACAAAAGCACTGCAGAAGCACGGCGTCTGAATCAAACTTTTGAATTAAGTTCGGCAAGCAATTAAGTTCGACAAGCGCTGCCGTGCTACACGGCTCTGGCACGGCAGCGATTCAAACGTCGTGCTTCTGCCGCGCTAAACAAAATTCATAAATTATATTAATGTATTTTGGCGAGATTGCGTTCCCACGGGAAGGTGGGAGAAGAATTGTTACGAGGCATCAGTAAATCCTGAATTTGGTTCGACTCTGGCACGACGTCTGAATCAAAGTTGTTTTCCTGCCGTGCTACAGTCGAACCAAATTACAATTAAGTTCGGCACGGCAGAAGCACGACGTCTGAACTGGGCCTTTAAGAGACACAGCGACGCAAAAGCTGAACCAAGGACGCCTTAATTTAGCATTCGCGCCGCTGCAACTATACCTTTCGACTTGCTTTCGACCCACAAATGAAAAAACACACCAAACACCTGCCAGCTGCGCAGACTAGTAGCTGCTAGCGGGGGCGTCGCGCAATATCGGCTGTATTCTCAGGCTACTAGTCATCAAAACAAGGTATCGGATATGAACATATTTTTTAACCGTGTTACTTTAGCTTCAAGTCGGGTTTTTCCAGTTACGAGATAATTGGGCGAAAATGAACTTGCCTAGAGTGAGAGATATCTTGGAGGGTTCTTCAAAGTCTATCGAAAGGTCTTGAAAGGCACTAAAGATGTACAAGTACGTCGAATGTTATTATATCATTTTTAGTTGGAAAATTCATAACCAGTTGAGTAAAGAATTCTGTTTTCGGTGTTGGTAATGACCGTGAGAAAAAGACATAAACAAACGTTGTCTGAAAATTTCCAAATACGGAAAAGGCTTACTCACAGCACATACATATAAAGTATAGACTGCAAAATAGTCCGTATTTTTGCGTATTCATGTAAGCGCGAACAGTCAAACTATACGCTACCCTAAACCAATTTTGAGGAAAAATATCCGACTGTTTTGCTGTCTATTTAAAGTACTATACAGGGCCATATTTCTTATTCAAGAAACTGTAAACAGTACAGCACATTTTTAGGAAAAAGTAGAACAGGAACGGATCTAGGGGGGTGGATTGGGTGACTAGCAACCCCCCCTTTTGGACAGCCCACCTAAAAAAATTAATACACGGAAAAACAAACGGGAATACATGGGTCCCAAAAAATAAAGAGATACGTGCAATCGCCATGCATCCAAATGTAGAACCATCAACAGAAGTGTAGTTTGTGAGAAATTTGTGGCACTACACCCTAGACCACTAGACGTCTTCATTTTTGGCCGACTAGGTTAGTAAGGTATTTCTATTAGTTTCTATTTTTTCTATTTTGTGGCTTTTCAAGAGTTTGCAGTCTCCAATTCGTCCTTTCTAAATCGCCATGTTTTGGGACAAATGTAGGACAACTTAAAATGAATTAACGTGTAGTTTGGTGGCCAACTGGTATTAGCCATCCCCCCCCCCCCCCAACTCCGCACTTTTCCTTAAACATTTACTATGACGCCGGCAAAAAAATCAAAGAAACCCACCCCCAGGGGGAAGCTGTACCACTACCTTAAAACAAAAATATATCTAATATAAAACGATGACGAATGAAAAACGGAATCTAACTTATCACCACTAATATTTTTTGTTGTTGGTATTTTTATTTTT